CACCAAAGTCTTCCGAAAGGAAACTTGGGTTTAAGTTCGCACTAACAAGACATGCAACTCGCACTAACAGATGTGTATCCCTTTTCTCTCCCTAACTTCAGTCCCTTACGTTTGCAGAGAGGGCAGCTTCTCGGAAGCGAGTCCCCTTTTCATTCTTTTTGAGATGGAATCTCGCTCTGTCGCCCAGGCTGGAGTGCAGTAGCGCAATCTCGGCTCACTGCAACCTTTGCCTCCCGGGTTCAAGCGATTCTTCTGCCTCAGCCTCCCGAGTAGCTGGGACTACAGGCGCGCGCCACCACGCCCAGCTAATTTTTGAATTTTTAGTAGTACAGACGAGGTTTCACCATGTTGGCCAGGCTGGTCTCTTATCTCCTAACCTCGTGATCCGCCCACCTCGGCCTCCCAAAGTGCCGCGATTACAGGCGTGAGCCACTGCGCCTGGCCCACCATTGGCCACCCTTTTCATTCTTAACTGAGACTCCTCCCTGCACCCCAGCTCCTGTCGATGCTCGACTTCCTCCCGCCTCCGAGGGGCCGCGAGTCTACCGACTGGCGGGGTAACTCCGCTTGCCAAACCCACGAAATGGCCCGCAGTTTGGCTGAGACGGGTAGGACACCCAAGGGACCAATACCACCTTCCATAAGATGGGATTCGAACCTAAAACTCGTTCTTAACGGCCCTAGGTGCAAGAGCTGCCCCTCCCTGAACTACGACTCCCTCAGGTTTCAGAAAGGACAGCTCCGCGACCCAGAAAGAGATGTAGGGAGGAGCCCAGCTTCCGGCTCGAAAAGGACTCTGGGACACTGGGCGGGGCCAGGAACGCAGTGTTCCTGGGAAATGGGGTCCACAGCCTCCGCTGCGCAGGCGCCGCTCCACGCAGGCGCCGTGGCCCTGCTTCGCACGCGCTCGGCTGGAGACCCCTGTCCCCGAGAGCGCGCACGCACCCTGCCGGGGTACTAGGAGGCGTGGCGGATGCTGAGGCAGGCACTACCGGTCTCGGTGGCGGTGTTGTGGTGAGGGCGGGTTTATTTCAGGCTGACTACTAATTTAAGTGGGAGAGACACGCAGTTTGTAAGATCTTCCCACCCCAAGGGGCAGATCGACAGCAGAATGTGTGGGTGCGCACCCACACACTGGCGGAGCTGCCTCAGGAGCCCTACTTCAGGGGCCCGAGGAACTTGTCGACGAGATTTCTTGAAGTAAATGCCTTGTCCCCAGTTACAGCGCTACCGTCATGTCCCTCCGAGGAGAGGAGATGGCAGCAGCCTTTCGCTCTCATTGGTCTCTAAATGAACCGTCATGTACCTGTGGACGGCCTGAGGAATTACCGATCTCATTTCCAGCCTGCACCCCGCCACGCTTCCACCGCTGCGCTCACCGCCCCCATTATTTTGAAGCACAACTCAGAATCGTAAACATTTCGGTACCAATTTCTAAAGATGGAGACTCTTCGAACAGAGTGACATCTTTATTATATCTCTTCAAATCACAATGTCAAATATCAAGTGAATGAATTTCCCTACTTGATGGAAATTTGGGGGTTTTCCGTTTATTTAAATAAGGATCCAAATAAGTTCTACAGCTTAAAGTTAACTGACATGTCACTTAAGTCACTTTCTTCAGTCTCTTGGCATTTCTCTTTTATCTCTTTCAATATATTTCTTGGGGAAACTAGATTTTGTCCTGTAGAGTTTCCCACAATCTGGACTTCACTGATTAATCAGGGTGCTATATTTCATGCTTCTCTGCCCTCTGTGTTTTCTATAAACTGATAGCACAATAAAAATAAATAAATAAAAATAAACTGATGATAGTCTTGATCTGATTCAAGTTTAATTTTTTGGCCAAAGTATTTCATAGGAGGTTTATGTTTTATCAGAAAATACATGATGTCTGGGTTTCTCTTTCTGAGATTAAACAACCATTAAAGATTATTACCTAGATCCATTAGTTCATTAGGAGTTGCAAAATAGTAATATTCTAAACCTATCATTCATTATTCACTTATAAATTGGATTATTCCTACAAGGAGAAACTTCCTCTCATCAACTAGTTGTCTACCATGGGTAACAGTTTATATAGGAAAGTAATAAATGCTTGCTTTATTCCTTTATTTAACATCTTTCAAAATCATAATTTGTTCCCTAGGATATGAAAACTGACCAATGAGGTTTTGTTTATTTAGTTGTTTATTTGCTTGCTTCTTAAGTGTTGTTATATACCAAATTCCTGTGACATGTGTTTCAAATCCTTATCGTTATTATTCCTATTGATCCTCAAATTGTTCCATCTTTGACCTATGGAAGGCTTTTTAGATTGATTCCTGAGGACTTTAACATAACCCTAGTTGTCAATACTTCTTTATTTTCTGAAATGATAAGGTATACCCGGTTCAACTGGCACACTTCTTGCCCCATACCTAGATTTAATCATTTCTTCTGGAGACCCTGGTTCCTTTTAGTGGGAGCTGGTATTTGCAAACCACAATCTAGGTGCAAGTGGTACTCATCACTATTGAAAAGTCATGTGTCTAGACCTCTCCCAAATAGAGCTACAGTTCAAACCGATACTCCCAATTCAAATTCAAACAACAGGATTTTTACTTAACCTTATCAGTCTTACATCTGTGTCTCTATTCTCCAATGTTGGAAACCCAAATTATCAGTTATGCCAATATAATTACTCATTTACTTTATCAAACAATACACACGTTTTTTAAAATTTCAGAACAATTATGATAGTACCACCACTATTATTATTGAAAAGTTTAAGATTTTTAAAAAATTATTTCTGTCCTTAGAGTATACTTTACTAGAGATATACAGTCAAGTCAATGAATCTTTATTTATTTATTTATTTTTTTTTTGAGACGGAGTCTCGCTCTGCCGCCCAGGCTGGAGTGCAGTGGCCGGATCTCAGCTCACGGCAAGCTCCGCCTCCCGGGTTCACGCCATTCTCCTGCCTCAGCCTCCTGAGTAGCTGGGACTACAGGCGCCCGCCACCTCGCCCGGCTAGTTTTTTGTATTTTTAAAGTAGAGACGGGGTTTCACCATGTCAGCCAGGATGGTCTCGATCTCCTGACCTCGTGATCCGCCCGTCTCGGCCTCCCAAAGTGCTGGGATTACAGGCTTGAGCCACCGCGCCCGGCCAAGTCAATGAATCTTAAAGTAACTTGGAATAATTTTTCTCTGGGTGTTATAATGCAGCAGGACGAGCCGCAGACAAAACTCCTCAGACACCAGATTAAAGAAGGAAGAGGTTTTTTATTCAGTCAGGACCGTCAGCAGATTTGCATCTTAAGAGCCAAGCTCCCCAAAAAATAAATTATTGGCCTTTTTAAAGGCTTACAACTTTAAGGGGTCCACATGAAAGGGTCGTGATAAATCGAGCAAGCATGGGAAACGTGACTGTGGGCTACATGCATCAGTTAACAGAACAAAAAGTTGTACAGTGCTTTTTTCATACAGTGTCTGGAATTTACAGATAACGCAAGTAGTTTAGGTCAGGGGTTGATGTTATTATTATTACCTTTTTTTAACTCCTAGGGCCGGGTGGTGGTGCCAGGGTTGTCTGGCTATTTATCTTACTTTTGTTTCTTTCTAACTTTTTGCTTTTTCTCTCCTCCTGTCTTGCGAACTAGGCAAGGTCGGGGGAGGAGGGCGGCAGCAGTAGTAGTGGTCTCCTTCCTTAATAACACCAACTCCACCGTGTAGTGGACCATATGATGGCCCCCAAAGATATCCAGGTCCTAATCCTTAGAACTTGTGAATGTTACTTTATAATGTCAGAATGGATTTTAGGTGTGAATAATTAGGGATCTTGAGATGGGAAGGTTATCTTGTTTTTCCTGGGGAGCTCTGTATGAAATTATAATTGTAAGAGACAGACAGAAGAAAATTTAACAGGGGAGAAGATGATAATGTGACCTCAGAGGCACATATTGGAGTGATGCAGTCAGTAACCAAGAAATGCCAGCAATCAGAAACCAGAAGAGGCAAGGAACAGATTTTACCCTAGAGCTTTTGGAGGGAGCATGGCCCTGACAACATTTTGATTTTGGCCCGGTGAAACTGATTGCAGATTTCTTGCCTCCCAAACTGTGAGAAACTGTTCCAAGACAACAAGTTTGTGGTGATTTGTACAGTGGCCACAAGAAACTAATATACACAAGTTCCTTTGTTTCATTGTACTTTCAAGGTTTATGGATTGCTTTTTCTTTAATGTATTTTGGTTTTATAATTAGGTAAAGTTTTTTATGCTATCAAAGTAGAATCCACAAAACAAAGTACTTTAGAGAAACCCAACTTCTATTCCTATGCCCCCTACCTGGTTCACTCCCTCCCCTATAGCTAACCACTTTTAAATTTTATGGTTTATTCTTCCATTTTTTAGCATAAACAAATGTGTGCATATATATTTCTGTCCCTTCCATTCTCTCTTAAACTGTAGCATACTATTCACGCATCCATCCATCTTGTTTTTCCCACATAAAAATAAATCCTAAGGATCACAGAGATATTTCTCATTCCTTTTTACAGTTGCATATTCATATTACTATATTCCGTATGGTTGCTTCTACAGTGTATCCATAGCGGCTCCTTTAACTGACCAAACATTGAGAATTTCCAAAAAGGTGGAAAAGTAAGGATAGAGACAAAGAAGGCATAGATAAATGAGAGCAAATAGAAAACAAATAGCAAGAACGATAGC